AGAAAAAGCACAAGTGACATTGCATGAAAAAATAAATAGTAAAATGTAGAATAAAATTATTTAATATATAATGTTACGCTTTTGAGAGAAAATTACATTTGTAAATTGAAAAATTAATAATATTTCCCCTCTGTTTCCAACACACGCGGGGTTTTCAACGATATTGTGTTCAATCAAAATACATATAAAAATAAAATATTCCAAAGGTAATTTTGATCGTAAATTTTATTATTTAAAAAATAGAAAAAAATAGAATAAAAATTATATTTATACTTTATTTATTAATTGAACGATTTGTAAACTACGTTTGCAAAGTGAGTTCTTTGGCAAAGTAAGAATTTAAACCGATTCTGAGAAGGCTCAATCTGATACAAGGCTCAAATTTTACAATTATAAATTTCAAAGATCGATAAGCTCTTAATAATGATCGAAACATGATGCCAAACAATCAACTGATGTGGCATAAATGCACTAAATAATTATTAAAATAATCAACAATTTATAGGCAAAACAAATTGCATTTTTTGGTTGCATTTGGTTTAAAACTTTTAAACAAATCGCTTCATCACTTGATTTTAACGGCCCGCTGAGACAAGAAATTTGATCAAATAGTCTATCGACTCGATTGATTTCCACTACATCAACGAAATATAATCGCAACACGGTTGCCGTCGGGAGTGGTAAACTAAAGAAAAAGATGAACCGATTCCCATATATGCAACCTTATCCATTAAATTACACCTTTCAAACCAACGCTACCTTGTATTCTTGCAAAAAGCAACCACAGCTATGTCAAGGATATCGATTCGGCCGAACAAAGCTGAATAACGAGAAATTTCACTTTAGTTAATCACTGAACAAAGCGTTTTTTTAAATAACCGCGCAACTTGCTTTCAACTTGCTTGCATTAAGTTACACTTGTCTTTTATTAATGCTTCGCCTTCGCATGACACATGCACAGCTGTGTACTATTTCAGAATTAAAATTCTCGACAAAGTTGCCTAATCGATTACTGTACACATCGTGTCCCTGTTGTCGGGTCAATTCGATCACACGCGCGAGATTGACGTGTCGCTCGTCAACGTGTCGAGAAATTGAGTACCACTGTATGAGAGTATTTTATTCTTACGTGCTACACCGCTCGAGTTTTATCGCCAATACAACGAGACCGTGGGTACAAAAACTGGACACGAGCAATTCCTTCGTCGTAATGTCCGTCGGTGCGCGCGAGATTTGTAAGTTGTGTGCACATCAACGGCGTTACACGTCGTCTTAATTAAGTCCGATGGACCGTTACATGTTCCGCGTTGTCAGGCCTGGCTTCAGACTCGGACAATTGTGACGTTTATGCGAGCTTCGTGCGTGAAAAAGAGGAGGTGCAACAAACAATCTCTTACTCCAAATTATATGTGATAAAAAAATAATTTTAGGTTTTCGTTCTTCATTAAAAGCTAATAATGCATACATCTATTACATTTTGTTTTCTTCTTGGAATGTTGATATTTTTGGCATTCTCGCCATATCGAATAGAAATATGTTTACATTGCGCAGATAAAAATTATCGTGACATACAAATGGCATGTTTGGCTTCCCGTTGAATGCTAATCAACTCTAAACAACTAAAAATTATCGACTCATTATGCCTGAATACTCGGAAGTGCAAGCTGCGACTTTATGCAAATAGACCTTTCTGGCACAAACGTAAATATTATATTAGTCGGGCGAACTATATAATCGGTCACACGTTCCACGAATCACACTCGAGCGCGAATTAATCTGTCTTCAGGAAAATAAAGGCTAACAACGCGAATTTATCGTCTGCGATTAAGAACTGACCTATAAAGAGGCATACAATTGAAAATAAAATCTTACATTAAATAAAGAAAAAAAATTAAGTAAAAGAAATGACAAATATGCACGACTGATTTATCCAATTGTAACGAAGAATTCACAACGTTTCTCTCCTTAGCACGTAATTAATTATTCGGGTCATTACTTGCGACTGGCATCTAATTGAATCGTATTAACTTCCGGCACACGTATCGTGCAGTATAAAGAAAATAATAGAGATGTCACTAGCCATTGCGTTGTTACCGCGTTCAAACAGCTTTTGCAAAAATTTTCCGATCATTTTTGCGGACTTATATATCACGTTTAATTAAATAAAATACATTTGCCACTTCGGTGAAAGGTCAAATTAGCTTGCGGCACGGTATTATAAAGCTCCAAAAGCTTTGTCGGAATTCAACGAAACTGTTTTACACACGAATGCACAATTGCAGCCATCTTTTCCGCATTAAATTAACGGATTTTCACGCGTTGAAAAAATGTATGTGTCATAAGTGCGGATGCGAAATACGTGAGCAAGTGAACGTATTCTTCCTCTAAAAACTGTTGTTTACCTGGAAAACGAGGAAGCATTGCACACGCTCAACATTATTAATTTCCACGTATATATAGTTAACGCCAACCGCTAGGAAATAAGAGAGCACATCATTTGCTGAAATCGTCAACAACGCGCAAAAAGAATTGTATTGATTTCTTCAACGCAGTAGTCTCGCCCGATAAATGCTCTTAACTGGCGATAAATGACTCGTTTTATCGGACTGTAGTCTGCGAGAAACATTGAACAGACTCCTCAAGTGCAACCTTGCGTCTTTCAAGTTATATCAATTATTACTTCGTGTACATTTTCGGCCGAGATATTTTGTCGTCATTTTATGCCTAAAATCGACCGAATTGATACATAAATAATATACAAGTTTGAAAAAAAGCCTCGTGCTCTTGTACTAATTTTAGTATAATTTCCGACTCTCACACGCAATCCTCTTCGACATGTATTTTTCTCGTTAAGAAAAGTTTGCATGAAATAAATATTTGGTCCTTCATGACTAGCACCTCAATTTACTTTTAAATTTTCCAACCATTTTTCGAACAGATCACATTTTCAGTAACTTTGCAAAATGTTAGAATGTACAAGGATTAAAAACAATAAATGACTGAAATGTTTCGATGGGAAAAAAATATCCAGTTTTTTGGACTATAACTTTCGATCTATTATTTGAGCTTCGTCAACTGTACATCAATATGTCTTTCTTAATTTTGCGATTTGTGAAAGCTTAAATATTCTGAGTTGTTACAAGTAAGAATCTTGATTCTACAATTCTCGATCGCGATGTAACCGTAACACTTTGAAGCAGCGACGCGCTCCGAAGAAACGGAGGCGCGTCATCCGTCCGCAGTGACGTTTAGCCGTACTCTGTGGGAACGCGAGATGCAACGAGCGGCAGAAAAATGCGTCCGCCTCGCCGTTAGCTCCTATCGAGCGTATGTGTATTCGTGCGTATGCGAAAGTCACACACGCACGCGCACGAAGTCAGATAGAGAGCTAGAAAACGGCGAAGAAGAGGGCTGGTTTCACACTCGTAAAGGTAAGATAAACGTCTAAACCGATTGCATGCGCTTATTGCCAATTCGTATTCCAGGAAATAATCGACGCTTGTCGAAAAAGTACATAGCTGAGTATATAGACGAGGCAAGACCTCGCGCGATCTCGCCTTCGAGAAACAAACATCGCCT